TAATATTAGCATAGATGCCATTCTTCTTACAATGTAGCAAGTACATCGGGTGTTATGGAAAGTGTTCCCGGTTCCGGTTGACCTAATTAATGCAGCCTAAAAATCCTTTAACGGATTTGAATATTAGAAATGTGTTAGTGTGTTATGTGTAAGCCAGGTTAAAGAGATGGGTCTTTAATCTAGATTTAAACTGACAGAGTGTGTCTGCCTCCCGAACAATGTTAGGTAGGTTATTCCAGAGTTTGGGTGCTAAATAGAAAAAGGATCTTCCACCCGTAATTATTATCATATACTGAGATGCTAAACCATTCAGGGCTTTATAAGTAATAAGCAAGAGTTTAAAATCTATACGATGTTTAATAGGTAGCCAGTGCAGTGTTGACAGAACCGGGCTAATATGGTCATACTTCCTGGTTATAGTAAGATCTCTTGCTGCTGCATTTTGGACCAGCTGGAGTTTGTTTATTAAGCGTGCAGAACAACCACCCAATAAAGCATTACAATAATCTAACCTTGAGGTCATAAACGCATGGATTAACATTTCTGCATTTGACATTGAGAGCATAGTAATGCCAACAAAGTTTTCTAGTCTATTCAAAAGAATGTTGTGGTCTATAGCGGACTATTAGACTGTTTTCCTTAATCTTCCTTTAGCGTAAAGGAGCAACTGTATCTAAAATGCTAGAAAAGAGAGAGTCCATAGTTTCTGTTACATCATCAAGTTGTTCTGAGGTTTTGGATATGCTAAGGAATTGGGATAAATCAGGAAGATTACTTACAAAGCAGTCTTTTGTGGTAGAAGTGATGGTTCTACCATACTTGCAACAAGGAGTAACACTTGTTTCTCTGGATAATGTTATATGAAGCACCATTACTTCAAACGAGTTACACTTGAAGGCCGCCCTCTGAGAAATACTGAAAACATTGTTATAAATTGAAGCAACACCTCCCCCTTTACCTTTTGGACGTGGCTCATGTTTTTAACAGTAATCGTGGGGGGTAGACTCATTTAAAATAATGTAATCATCAGGTTTTAGCCAGGTTTCTGTCAAACAGAGCACATCTCGGTTATGATCAGTGATCATATCATTTACAAAAAGTGCTTTCGTAGAAAGGGACCTGATATTCAATAAGCCAAGCTTTATCATTTGTTTATCAGTATTACATCTGTTTTTTATTTGTTGAACATAAATTAAAATGTTCCGTTTTTTGTATTTTCTAGTTTGGGGAACAGACACAGTCTCTATAGTGTGATATCTAGGTGAAAGAGTTTCTATGTGCTGAGAATTAACTGATTTCTGTGACATGAAGTGGCTAGCAGATGGTCGGTTTAGCCAGTCTGTCTGCTTCCTGACCTGGGCCCCAGTTAGTCAAGTACTATGTGCCCTATTTCTAGACAGAAGAGCGGCACCACCCCAGGAGGGATGAAGACCATCTCTTTTCAACAGGTCAGGTCTGCCCCAAAAACTTGTCCAATTGTCTATGAAACCTATGTTATTCTGCGGGCACCACTTAGACATCCAGCCATTGAGTGATGACCGTCTGCTATGTATCTCATCACCACGGTAAGCAGGAGGGGACCAGAACATATTACAGTGTCTGACATCATGCTTGCAAGTTCACACACCTCTTTAATGTTATTTTTAGTGATCTCCGACTGGCGAAGTCGAACATCATTAGCGCCGGCGTGAATAACAATCTTACTGAATTTACGTTTAGCATTAGCCAGCACTTTCAAATTTGCCAAGATGTCAGGCGCTCTGGCTCCCAGCGTAATGAAATTAACTCATTTGTAAGTCGTTAATTCTATAAGGGTATTAATCATTAATTTTATTTCTAGCTCAGGTTTTGAAAGGACTCGAATCTGAAAATTCTTAGTCAACCTGATTAAAACTGAATTCAAATCTGATAGTTTACACTTTAAATCAAGGGTCGTCCAGCGAGCCGGTGATTCTTAGTATATTTTAACAACTTGAATCTTTGTATTTCCCTGGCCACGGTCAATACAATTATTATAAGCTATTATAGCTATTATAGTATTATAGTAATTATTATAAGTAAGCTACGAGCTAGGTAGCAAGGAATCTTTGGCAAAAGTTTTAACCTTAAAATTATATGACACCAAACAATGATTCTTTATAAATGAAACATGAATTTTATTGGCTATTCTAGATTACATCAAAACTAAGCTAAAACACATTTACACACAAACATACAGTTTCTTTAGAATGAGAGTTGACGGAGTTGCATGAAGTTTCAAAGTTCTAACTCGTTTTCACGAGTGATTTAAATTCACCTGAGAGAATTCACAAAGCAGAGGTTTGTCTTAAGTTTGCTGCTTAAATTAGCTCGACACCAGTTCAGCAGAGATAAGATTTTGTTTGTTTACTTGGGTTTTGCTTTGGGTGACAGCTGAAAAGCTGAGGTGATCTCCCGTTACTGACGAAGGCTTCCTGGATGGCTGCTGAGGGAACCCCGGAGCTTTCGGATTGGTCGCTGAGGTGACGTTTGGATGACGTCCTTTCATACATTACCATAATGCTTCAATTTATCATGTGGGGAAATGAAGATTTGCAGGTTTTGTTAATAACTTCTATATAGTGTTGTACACCACATACTGCTCGAAATAACAGCTTTTCACTTATTTCAATATTCTGCAATTATCACAAGTTTACGTTCAACACTAAACTTCACATATTACACACATTTTAATAACCTCATTTCCTAAAAAGGATAATAAACACTGATTAAAGTTGCACCGATTACATGAACACATCAAGCATATATATATAAGACATACAACATATTATTTGTGAATCTATTGCTCCGATACTTTCAAATGATTGTCTTATGAATTGTCTGTGTAAGTTCGTGTCCCTTTTTTTGGAATGCAGAGGGGAAAGGGGATGTGTCCTGAGGTCATGCCCATGTCACGAGTTAGGAGTCTGCCATTCTTCTCCTGGACAGAGAGCTCTAAAAGTGTCTCTTTTGTTGACGGGATTATCAATTTATGTGTTAAACGGTCATGAGGTCCGGGCGATACTGTTGCTGGAACATTTCCAGATTCCATGTCTTTGTTCTGTTGTTTATTAGCTGGTTTATTTATGCTGAAGCCGGTCATGAAACACACTGACATTCTGTTGCTTAAACGAGTCTAGATGGGGGGGAGGGGTCCAGTTATTGCTGTCCTAATGCTTGTCGACCCTGGAGGTGGTTTGGTAAATCACTCTCTCCTGGTGTTTCTTGTACAGATAAGCAGAGCTGGACAGGAACTCATTTGAGACAATTGGCGCCTGGCTGACCGTGATTCAGCTTTCCGGCTCTCAGATGGTTGAGAAGAGATGTTAGTTTCCAGGTGGAATGCGGAGACTCCCTCGTTCATTTGTGTGATGTTCGCAAATGCCTTACACGGTAAACATTGGACTATGGCGGCTGGTGTCTCTATTTTCATGTTCCGTACAATAGAATCGCCAATAACTAGATAACTTTGATCAGGTTTCTCAGTGGGTGCATCACTGAGTGGGGAGAACCTGTTTAATGTTTTGATCGGAACGGTAGAGCAGTGTTTTGACCCGCGACTATGCAGCCTTACAGTCACCCAGTCGCCCTGCTGCAGAGACATTGTAACCGGAACCGAACAATGTACAGGACTCCCTGAGCTAGTTGCATCCAAAGCCGTATCTAGGGCCCTCACATTCTTACTGTCCTCAATTAAAGTTTGGATGCGTGTCTCTAATTCTGAAATCTTCTCTGTCAGCCTAACTATTTCCCTGCATTTATCACATGTGAATCCCTCGTTGCCGACCAAGAGAGAAAAACTATACATGTGGCAAGCGGTGCAAACAAAAATAGCAGTAGAAGAAGCCATTACTCACCGTGATTGATGAATGATTCTTACTTACCACAGTTGTTTGATGAACTTGTGAAAAAACGGAGAGAGAGAGAGAGAAAAAAAAAAAAAAAACAGCTATAGGCGCGAATGGAAACGCTAATGACAAGCTAACCGGCTAACGAATGCTAACGCGCTGCAGGTTAGAGAACAATTAAAAAGCTAAGGAATGACAAACAAACAACAGAAATCATAGGACCAAGTGAGAGTAGAGCACTGGTTTATTCCCGTCTTCTTGGGGGCAGTTGAGGAACCCTTGGCTGAGACACATTAGAAATGCTGCTAAGACCAGGCCGTACTGAGCAACGAGACACAAATGACACAAGAAATGACACAACCAACACAACAATGACAGAATTTCAAAGAAAATTGAAGAAACTGTCCAGATATCAGCTAATTCTCTTTAGGAACGTAATTAGAAGAAAGTCTCTTCTGCTGTAGTTTGCCCTGCTGCTGTGATGTTCTATGCTGGTCCAGCCTGGTTAGTGCTGGCCGGTGTCGGCTTGGTTCTAGCTTATCTGGTGGACCAGCATGTTCTTTTTGTGGTTGATTTTCTGGTTAACCTACTTAAAGAGCATACAAAACTCAACATGTAGTGTCCAGCATGATGACACTACATTTGAGCATTTTAGGCCCAGAGCGCACAGCAAGTAATGAGTCCAGACTTAAATTAACATCATAGAAAATCAACATCATCAAACTGTTGTCTGTTCTTCAGTCTAAACAGTGAGTGAACACAAACGTACCCAGAAACACTGAAGGGTGTGATAGCTTCTTAAGGAAAGTGCACACAGCCTAACATTTGGAAATGCAAAGGAGGTCAGTGCTTTCTGAAGGCAGTGTGCATGTGAGCAACACTGCATGAGCTGGTGAAGGAGCTTCAGGCATGTGTGTGAGTGTGTGTGTGTGTGTGTGTGTGTGTGTGAGAGGGAAATGAGAGAAATGTTAGGGCATGCTCTGCCAGTTCTCTGCCTGCGGACACTCAGCGATGTCAGAGCAGTTCAAGTTCAACAGAACACTGTGTTTGTGTGTGTGTGTGTGTGTGTGTGTGTGTGAGAGAGAGAGAGAGAGAGAGGGGGGGAGTCAGAGACAATGAGAGTGTGTTTTTATTTGTGTGTGGGTATGAGGCAATGGATGTAAAGATGATACAGAGCAAACCATGAAGGTATTTGCATATGTGCACATATATAGAGAACGAAAGAGAGATGGAAAGAGGCACAGAAGAAGAAAATGACTGTCGTCCAGTAGCACAAGTTCTTATTACTGGGATTGTGAGCTTTAATCTGATCAGACATGCTGGACTAAACCCGGACATGCTGACAGGAGGAACACTCTAGAAACCATGGCAGGTGAGTTCACGCAACTGAGATACACTCAAAAATTAAACGAGACATAATCCTTGTGTTACTGGTCTACTTAACATCAAAAATAATCACTGGTTGACAAACTGTTCAGACACTCTATGTGTCTTAAAGAGTTTTTTTTTTTGTCTATTAGGTTCTATGTACTGAAGTGCAGCAAAGCTCCAAAGAATTAACCTACTAAAACAGAGGTTACCAAATGTTTTTGTCAGCTGAACCATTTAGACGTAAAATACTTAAAGTCCCCTATGAGATTTTAAGTTAATATTTTGATTTAGTGACACATTTGCATGGTCATGGTTCACTTGGTCAGTTAATGGTCACATGACATTTAAAATACTGTAAACCAATAACATTTACGTTTAAGGGTGTTGCTATAAAATGCTATAAAATTCTGTCCACAAAAAAAGCTGTCAACTATGTGAATGTGAATGTAAATAAAGTGAACATAGCACACATCATGTTCCAAAATGCACATTAAACTCACAGCGCTTTCACAGATAGAGTTGGTGAGAAACAGCATTTACTATGAACCAAACTGCTCTGAAAACACAATATTATCAACTGCACGCGTGTAAATGAACACAGTGTCACTTGTCACTCTGAACTCACAGCGCTTTCACAGATAGAGTTGGTGAGAAAAAGCATTTACTATTAACCAAACTGCTCTGAAAACACAATATTATCAACTTGTCACTCTGAAACACAACAGACTATCTACTTTTTTGAATCACAAAATTTGATGGCAACACTTTATAACTTTAATTTATAAATCATTAACAAACATTATTTAATGCTTAACAGATCATTAGTTAATATATATTCACATAGCTACACTGTAAAAACATTAAACGTAAAAAAACAGTGAAATGCTTGGCAGCACAGGGTGCCAAACGTTTACCATTAATAGAAATAATGGTTAAACTCGTGGCCTAATGGTTAGAGATTCGGACTCGTAACACAAAGGTTGCGGGTTCGAGTCTCGTACCAGCAGGGATTGTAGGTGGGGGAATGTACAGCACTCTCTCCCACCTTCAGTACCATGACTGAGGTGTCCTTGAGCAAGGCACCGAACTGCTCCTCCGCCGCAGCAAAAAGGGCTGCCCACTGCTCCGGGTGTGTGTGTGTTCACTGCTGTGTGTGTGCACTTTGGATGGGATAAATGCAGAGCACTAATTCCGAGTATGGGTCACCATACTTGGCCACATGTCACGTCACTTTCACTTAAAGGGGTCATATGATGCGATTTCAATTTTTCCTTTCTCTTTGGAGTGTTACAAGCTCTTGGTGCATAAAGTTGTAAAGTCTGTAAAGTTGCAAAGACTAAAGTCTCAAATCCAAAGAGATATTTTTTATAAAAGTTAAGCGTCAGCCACACCTACCTAAAACGTCTCGTTCTAACACGCCCCCACATATCTACCTCATGATGTGGGAAGATTTGCATAACGCCGCCCAAATGTTCACGCAAAGAAAGAAGGCGTAACTTTTATTCTCACTGTAGTATTGTTCCCGCTGCCGCCATTCGTGAAGATGCTGTGTGCTTCGTTGTGAAAGCAAAACTACTTTGTTTGGTCTTCCAAAAGAGGACGGTATCCGCTTCATCATGCCTAGAGCTGATCTGTGCTGGTCGCTGAGGGAATACATCAACTTAGTGCTGTGGATCGCCGGATCGGCTTTCACCATGGACAAAGCGGAGTCCAGCCCATATGGTTGCCGCTCCTTCATCGGATCCGCCGGCTGCGCCGTTCTCGACCCCGCCGCCTCTGCTCACTCTAGCCCGGCCACAGCTCACTCTATCCCGGCCTCAGCTCACGCTAGGCCACTGTGTTTTTCGTTGTGAAAACGAAACTACTTTGTTTGGTCTTCCAAAAGAGGACACGACTACAAATCAGTGGTTAAGTTGTATTTACAACACTGTTCCAGAACAGTTTAACCCAAATATTCAGATGTGTGCAGCACATTTTATGGAGGACCGTTTCCTGATCCTGGTAGAGTAGACTACAATGCCGGCAGGTCTGACTCAGTCTGTAAGTATGTTTACATTTAAAGGATTTGCCACTGATGATTTAAACGCGAGTTTTGGGCAGTGTAGAGTAGCACTTGTTGTTTGTCATTTCTCCGATCACAAATGCAGACAGGGTTTTATGTTTACGCGGCGCGATGCAACGCAACGCGTAAAAAGACAATATAAGTCATTATAATCAGTAATTATGTCCCCACTGGATGCAATAAATGCCTCGTTTGTAATGGGTTTCAATGATTTTGTCTCTTCGCTCCGGCCGGGACAGGGCATCAACAGTATGGTGAAGGGCGTAACATTTCCGTCACACGCTTGAGGTATTCAGCCAATCACAACGCACTGGATAGCTGGCCAATCACAGCACACCTCGCTTTTCAGAACGATGAGCTTTGAAAAATCGATGCGTTTCAGAAAGGCGGGGCATAGAGGAGAAACAATAATGTACAGTATGTGGAAAATAATGTGTTTTTTTTACTTTAAACCGCATAAACACATTTCATTACACCAAATACACAAAATAATGTTCTTTTTAGCAGTATCATATGACCCCTTTAAAGAAAGGTTTTTTGTAAAACGGTCAATGACTGGCAGAATCAGCTGCCAAACAAAAACTGTAAAATTAAGGTACAACATCATATTTTTTCTTAAAGGTTTTTTTTGTTTTTAACTGTTACTTTACAGGTATTGTCTAGATTATCATTGTGAAACATTCTCTGTGAAACTTAATTTTTTTGCAGTTAACAACAGCACACAAACAAAAACTAATAAATATCACTGCATCAACAACTCCAGAGTTATTGCCTTTAAATAAAGTGACACGGAGCATAACATGGAGCATTTCTTGGTCTTCTCCTGGACTGAAGCACACACTGTACTCTTCAGCAGAATGGTGACCCACAAAACAGACAACCAAAACCCTTTAAATCCCAACAGCACATTACACACTAACAGATCTCTCTAGATCTCAGCATCTTCACTTATTACAAACCAGACTGACTTAATTTCTTTCATACAAAACTTCTTATTGAGAATTAACAGAGGTTTAGATGTTGATGTTTTATTGAAATTAATAAAGTTTGAAGTCACCGTTGTGGAGATAAGTGTTTGCTTTAGTTGTGCTTCTGACCCTTCACATTTCAACAATAATTTTGGTAAAACTTTCTATGACACCCGTATTTATGATACAAATTAAGGGTATTCTTAAGGCATTATAATGAATGCATAATGCATTATAAAAAAAATTATAATATGTTATATCAACTCATGAATAATCATAACAACAGTTATAATACATCATAATACTTACGTATTTGTGGTTATAAGTTTAAGAGTATGATTATTTATAACACACAATGAACACCATATTAAATCTACTTAATTTACAGAATAATGGACTGTATCATATCTTGACATTGTTTATTTAAGATCCGCACAGTATCTTACTACAGCTTGTGAGTGGTTAGATGTTGAGTGTTATTTGAGTGTTTTCTGTAGTGCTAATGTTAATTAATTGATGTGAGCTTTATACTCCAACCGAAAAAAATGCAATGTTTTATGTGGTTACATTTTATTTTGATGGTCCCCTTAATCAGTCGACTATAAGCAACTTTGCAACTACATGCCAACTAACTCTCATTAGAGTATTAGTATGTATGGCTGTTTGAGAATATTTTTTTTTATTATTATTACTACTTATAAGTGGTCTTTGACTGCTTTAAGTAAAGTAGCATAAGAAAAATGGCAAAATATGAGACTTATAATACATTATAACTATGAGAAATATAATCCATTGGAAAAGTGGATGCAACGTGTTAATTGTGTTATAAATCATCATACTCTTAAAAGCTATAACCACAAATAAGTAAATATTATAATATATTAAAACTGTTCTTATGAATATTCATGAGATGATACAACATATTATAAGGTTTTTTATAATGCATTATGCATTCATTATAATGCCTTAAGAATACCCTTATAATGTATTATAAATACGGGCTTCATAGAAAGTGTTACCATCATTTTTCTTTGGCTTCTGTATTTGTGTGTTTCTAAAGAACATTTCTTATAGCAAAACCTACGAGGAAAATTCTGATCAGATGAAGTTGTTTACGTGCTGATGACGATCTTGTTATCGTATAGTGGCCTGATTCCTTAAACTCATCAGAAATGTCTAATGTCCGAGCATGCTAAATTTATTAATTTTATTTTGTTGTAGTCTTATAATTTTACTGCTTGAAATGTAGGCCTGCTTTGATATTTTTAAGGTTTGTAAGGCGAAAGAATCTACATATGAACCTCAACAATGGTGATGATCGACAAAATATTCAGATCAGCTCTGATCATCACAAAACAAGCTTTTGGTTGATTGCCACCATCGTTGAGATTCATGTGCTGATTCTTGATGTTTGTATGAGTCAAAAAGCCTCCATTCAAGACACTTTCTATATAATGATTAAAAAAAAGTGAATCCCTGATTGTCATAACATCACATGACTGCTGTAAAAATACAAAAGCAACATTAAAAGCTAACATATTCAGAAACAATACTCATGATGCAGTCACTCATCATTAATAAGTTAACAGGTCTATCTGATCAGATTTTTCGCTAGTAATGTTTGCTATAATAACACACAGTTATAGCAGTCAGAGATAAGCTTACATTACAATGTGAAGGGTCAGAAGCCCAACTAAAGCAAATGCTTATCGCCAAAACGGTGACTTCTAACTTTATTATTTTCAATAAAACATCAACATCTAAACCTCTGTTAATTCTCAATAAGAAGTTTTGTATTAAAGAAATAAAGTCAGACTGGTTTGTAATGAGTGAAGATGCTGAGATCTAGAGAGATCTGTTAGTGTTTAATGTGCTGTTGCTAACAGTCATGTGACGTTTAATTAGTTAATTAATTAATTAATTAGTCAATTTTACAGTAAAGGTGTTTGCTCATAAAAATTCAGGAAATAC